AAGTACATATAAGCAAAAGATACATATGATAATAGTCATATCATTATTTATAATAACCCAAACAGAAACAATCCAAATATTATCAGTAAAATGAATAAGCTGTAGTATATTCAAACAAGGAAATAATATACAAAAATACAAATAAAAAACTATAGTTTTGTGCAACATGATGGCTATCACATAGTGTTGAGGAAAAAAAGACTCCCTACAAAATATATATTGTTTGATTTGCTTTACATCAAGTTCAAAATAGGTAAAATTAATCTATGATGTTAGAAGTCGAGAAAGTCATTAACTTTGTTGGGGGAAGGTACAGTGATAGGAATGGAGCATAATGTGGGGGTTGTGAAATGCTAGTTCTATTTCTTGACCTGGGTTCTGGTAACATCAGTGTGTTGACTGTGTAATAATTCATCAAATTGTACAAGTATGATCTGTTACCTTTTCTGTATGTATGCAATACCTCAACAGAAAAATGGGGGAAATAAAAATAAAACAGCAAAGTACAATAGATAAAGTTGGTCTTCTATGAGGGCCACCCTAATAGTCAAGGCAAATGGTTTTCTTGGTAAAGTTCTTTGGGATTAAATGGCTTCAGAAGCTCTCTATTATAAAGAGTTCTTCCCTATAAGGTATTTATAGATAGATTATGGATTATTTTTTCACAAAATCTAAGAAAGAGATGAGACTTAAAAACAAATAAAATAAAACATCAAATGACGTATTACAGAAAGCTTTTTGCACCACTTTAAAGGTAATGTGGTTAGGGCTCCTCTCCATTTCACTTTCTAATAATTCTAGAAACCAATGAAACATTGCTAGTAGAACAATTTGACTCACCTAAGCAAAGCTGATACAGGTTTAGCAAGACCTGAGGAAAGCAGGCTTGTTACATACAGAGAAAATGTCTTTGTTTCACATGATGATCTCCAAAGGCCCAAAATAATATTTAACTCAACAAGTATTAAAGTACCTTAACTATAACTAGCATTGAGTCAGGTACTGTGGAAAAAGACAAAAAAAAAAAAAAAGGAGGCAGATTTCTGAAGAGTTCTATATAAAGACATAAGAGTTACTAAACCAAAAACAGCCATAACAACTAGAGAATGATCCCAAGACAGGATATGGTGGGTGGGTTGCAGGAATAGAATTAGTGAGAGAGAAAATGGGAGAGGTATAATGGAGCCAGTTGATCAAAAACCTTGAATGTCACACTGAAAACTCTAGAGTTAAACCTATAGAAAAAAAAAAAACCTATAGAAAGTTATTTTATCTGGATCCCATTCCACTAAAAAAATTCTTGGATTTAATGACTCTTAGTCATTTTCTTGATTAACCAGCCTCAATAAGTAATGTAAAATCTGTATACACTAATGTTCTATCTAGTTAAAACAAGAGATGTTTTGTGGAAAGATAATTTCTATGTCATCATCTCAATTAGGAACATTTTCCAAATATCCCCAATAGTCCTAAATAAATCCTCATTAATCTACTCATATGTATTTTTCTAAACACTTCCTAAATCTTAGAGTTCCAGTTTAGATTATCTCTTAGGGCAATCATTTGAATGAGATACTACTTTTACTTGCCTCTCTTCCATGTCTGGCTGATAGCAGGCTATTTATTGAGCTAAATTGTTAAATTATACCAATATATTAACCTTATTCATCTCTCTCATGGTTTTGTAGACTTTGATCATATCCCTCCCTCAACCTCTCTCTCTTTCCTGACTGGGGAAAAAAAAAAAACTAGAAAATCCCTCTATCCCTTTGATCAATTTAACTGGATTTCTAGGGACTTTTATCAGCTGTTAGGTTTTTCTTGAGAAGCAGTCACCAGAATTTCCTACATGATTACGGATGCAAATCCACTTTTGGTCTTTTATGTGGAAAAGATAAGGGTTTTGTTTTGTCATTATTTTCAACATCCTTCCTGCTGATGTCTACCATATTATTGGCTTTGAGGACCATAATCACAACTGGGCCAACTTCTTCACAGAATGATCAACAGTGATTTTTTATTTTTTTACGGTAACAATCATATTGTGTACTGTCTGACTCAGAAGTTGGTGAGATGTACCTAGCTCTTCAGATCATCTTCAGTGAGTAGCCGGATAAATGTACAGGTACTCCTCAGCTACTCCAGCTGAAGGAGACAGTTATGATGCCAAAAGGTCTGAGGTGACCCTCTCACTTTTTATCATTAGCAGTGTCCCCACTGGGGAGGCTTTTCTAACAATCCCCCCGGAGAACTTTGCTGATCTTTCTGCTATGTATCCTGACTGCCCTAATTTCCTTCTGTATCTTGTTTTAAATGTTTTTAAATTGAGAGATACAAAGGAACCTCTTCAGTGATCTCTAGATCCCTTTCTTGAGTCATAACTGAGCCCATCATCTCATAAACATGGGTAGGTTTGTATGACCTTATACAATAAAGTGCCTCTGCTTTGCCTACTTAGTCTCATGGGAACTTTCTGCAATTTAGTCTCATCAGTTTGCCTTTACTCCTTGCAAATAAACTGGTGAGAAACCTGAATGTTCTGCCCATTGAAGGGTGTATATTTTTATCTTTCTTCCACTCCATCTAAGAGTTGCTGTAAGAGCAGCTGTTTGTGTTGAAAAACTAAAATATAAAAATGTGACCTACGTGGCCAAATCCCACAAGGCTGTTTACTTCCTTGTTTATGAATCAGAATCTGTCAGCACAACTTAGAATCTTGACTGTCAGCAGATACTGCAATTAAATGTCCCTGCAAAGCCAGCAGAGGGTGCACCAGGGCACTAGAAATTTTACCCAAGATGTAGCAGTATCAATTTAACTCTAATAGCCAACTTTTCCCTTTTTTTGGTGGGGGGGAGAGTACTAAAACTAATATTCTCAAGAGAAAATAATTTGAATCTGGGCTAAAATTCCTTTAAAGTATATTTCAATTCTCCCGAAAGTAATGTTCAGGAAGAGTAAGGAATACATGTTAAACTTAGTCTGGCCAAAATACAGGTGGAGTAAAAGAAACTGATGCAAATCTGAGCCTTCTACATTGCAAGAATTGTACTATGGAACTCCATCCCACTTTTCCCAGAAAGACTCCAGGAGTTGTATGCTATAGGGGAACAAACGAACTTTCTTGAACTGGGAGTCAAGAGACCAACTTCCCTTCTACTGTTGACCATAGTTGTATGACCTTGGACAAATCATTCCCCCCCCCCAGGGCCTCTGTGCTATCCAAGGGGATCAAACAAAATGGACTCATATGGCCCCTCACAATTCTAAAAATCCCTGACTCCAGTTGACGCCAGCAAATGTAAAGAGCCAGTATGCTTCTTGCTACTCCTCAAAAAGATTAAAACACAAGTAAAGGACAGAAAATAGGGAACTGTATTTAAACCTAGACAGAACTATTCGAAGTGCTATGCAAACAACAGGCGACTAAATGCCATTGTAGACCTGTAAGAGTCACGCACCATCACAGATGCCCTAGAGTGCAGCTGTCCTGCTAATCCTCAGTCTATAAACATTGGTCTGTCCATCCTAAATACCAAAAAGCTTTGGCTACCATTTGACTAAGGAAGTTCAATTACTTCAGCTTTTCACAGAGTATCAATGTTCAGCGGCTAAGTATTTCTACTGGGCATTGTGGGGGCGGGGGTGGATAGATAAAGGGAGCCAGAATCCTAGTTAATTATCATTTAGCTACAGTGTTTAAAGTTTCAAGTATGAGAAGCATGTCTACTGATTCTCTTCTTTGATAAGCTGTTATATAAGTTGGAGTGTGCTAGCAAGACGTTTTTCGGCTCAGGGTAACTTTACAATGCACAATGTAGAATATATGTCAGTCCCAACATTACAGTTTCGTCATGAATGAGATGCCAGCTTTGGATGGGTGGTCAAAGAGCACAAATAATGTTTAGCTTATGACAACGACTCTGGATATGGTGGTAAATATAGAAATCCTGGGCCCCTCATTTCAAGAAACTTATTTACACAACTTGCCCTCTTCCCCAAAAGGAACAAATTCACTATTATTCTCTAGCCACCTCAAAAGGATTCTTGGATGCTTGCTTCTCTTAAATTTCACATGACAAAATATGGCACTTAAGGGAATACTTATTTTAAGTGCGTCAAATTTAGTTGAAGAGCTGAAAAAGTGGAAGACAACTACCAAAGCTACCATAAAGATTGCAAAACAAAACAAAACTGCTCTTGAAAGATTACTCTTGAGTAATTCTTCCATCAGTAGATTCCTGTTCTCAAACTAGCAGTAGTGAATAGACTTCACACTCACCCCATCTACCCCCCTAAAAGAGTCAGAACCGGCATGCAAAGGGTGAGTTTTATTTCCATAGATTTTTTAAATTGCTGTTCAGAAGTTGTCTAGCAAGATGGCATATTTCTACCAGAATTCCACAGGGGCGCTGATCCTCACTAGAACACTGAGGACAATCAGTCTCAAATTGCAGGTAAGTGTGAACAAGCCCACGTTCTGGTCAGCGCACAAGGACCCGCGCTGAAAATACGATAAAAGTTGTTTCAACTGTGGAGCAGTTATTACAGCTGTTTACAGCTCCAACTCCAAAGGAGAGCCTGCTCGTGCTGGCATCAGCTCTGGACACGAAAAAACAAGCACCGCGGGCAGGGAATCTCACCAGGAGCAGAAGGGCCAAGCTGCTGCCGTTAGTCCGCCAGAGGGGCAGCACCCGCACCTCCGCGGCTGGGAGAGCCGCCAACTTTCCCCAAGGCAGCCGGTAGCTGGGGGGCGGCGGGCGCCGGCCAGAGTTCCCAAGTCCAAGGGTCCCGAGAGAGTCTGGGTGAGCTAGACCAGGACCCAGGACAACCTGCCCCGGGGCAACCTCTCCCCGGCTCGTCTGCCCCCTCCCTGGTCCGGCCCTGCAACTTGGCTGGAGGTGGCAGAGTCCTCCCCAAGGGCCCTGTGGGGGAGGGCCCCCGCCCTGCCCACAAGGGGAGGGGGCCTCTGCCGCCGCCGCCCCTCCTAGGTGACTCACCTGGTGCCCGTCCTGGGAGTGTGGGGGGAGTGTGGTTTCTCCCGGTTCCAGCGGCTGCTGCTGAGGTGATGGCTGCCCGAAGTGGCGGGTGATGGGACCATCAGGGTCGAGGCCACCGGGGCTGCTCAGGGTGCCAGAGGTGCCAGGGGTGCTGGGGCCAAGGCGGGACTCGGCTCCCCGTTCCCGCCGCAACTCGGAGCGCAACTCTAGGTAGCAGCACAACGTCAGCAGGTGGAGGGCCAGCGAGAGGCCAAAGAAGCCCAGGAAGAGCCGGCAGCTGTTCCCTTCGCCCGCCCGGGCAGGGGCCCCGCGACAGCCGCAGCCCTGGCTCCCCCGCTCCCGCGGCGCTGCCGTGGGCAGAGGTTCCCTGCGCTCTACCTCGGGGTAGCCCATGGCCTCCGGAGACACCCACTCTCTGAGGCCCTGGAGCCGCCGCGTCTGCCTCAGCCGTTCAGGACCCCTGACAGGCGGCTACTGCCCTGCCATCGGCTGGGGGCTGCAGGGACCCGTTCCAGAGCAACGGAGGCTGGGCGGAACGGAGCAGGGGAGCTGCCGCATGTGCAGCTCCACTCCGAGGGGTGGGAAAGGGAGGAGGAGGAGCGGGAGAGAGGGGCGGCTCGGCCCGCGGGGAGAATGAGGGAGGCGGCCCAGGCCGACCCCGCCCCATCCCCCAAGCGGCTGCCTGGACGCCCAACCACCGGCCCGCCAAGCCTTGGCGCCCCGCCCCCTGCCATTCCACCCTGGGCCTCCAGCCACGGGGCGGGGCCTTGGGGGCGTGTGGGTTCCCCCTCTGCCTGACTGCCCCACCCAGTTCTTCCCGCTTGCGCCTGTCCCAGTTGGTGACCGCCGCTGTCGTTCATCCCTGGACTCCGCCCCAATTTAACCCTATAGCGCCTGTACGGGGGCAGGAGAAGGCACGGAGGGGGAGGCCGAGAAGAATTGGGGAACCTTGGGAAGAAAGTGGAGCAAAGAAAAGGAAGCAGAAACTAGAATTAATAGAAATGTTTGCAATTAACTGCAGTTGTTAATAACATCATCCAGTACTTATCTGTTGCTTTCAATCTTCAAAGCGTTTAACAGACGTTAAACTAATTAAAACAGTTCTTGGTTTGGAATGAAACCATGCCTGCTGTGTTTGCAATCCTGTGGCGCGCCAAAAGAAAAAGGAGACCCAGGAGTCTAGGAGCCAAAGGGAGTGAGATTGGGGTGGGACCGAGGCAGCCCCACTCCTAGAGTGAATCTGGGGCCTCAATCTAAGTGGCCGAGAAGTGCACCTATGCCAGGTGGAACTGAAGTGATGTTGCCCCACGCAGGTTCGAACAGTCCCCTGAAATTTCTTGATAGATTAATTAATTCAACAAATATGTGTGGGTCCCTTTACAACGCAGCAAGTGCTGTATGAGATAATTCACAGCCTGTGGAGTTTCTCTTCTGCCTCAGCAACAGGAGTTTAGAGTGAAGAATATCTGCCTTCAATGAGCAAACGGGGAAATTGAGGGCCAGGTGAGGTGCGTTTTTACAAGGGTGGTCCACAGAATGGCCAGGCTACATTGGCATCTCTATTTGCAGGCAACTGTTCTGGCCTCTCAACCCCTCCCCTCCTCTCCCTGGAGTAGTCCCTGGGGGAAGTTCAACAAGTCAGCCAAATGTTCCAGATGTACACTGCTGCAACTGCAGCATCTTCAACAACTGAACCAATGAGAAAAGGGTTCAGAGCAAAAAACAAAACAAAACAAAACAAAACAAAGAGGCAAATGTCGGAACAATAGACTCTCAAATGAAAGATGGAAAGGATTAGTTGAGTCGCAATCGACAAGAGTTACTAGTCTGAGATTATAGAGAGCTAAATGACCGTAGCAGGGGAAATATGTATGCTTCTTGGTCACTATGTCCTCCTATTCCCATGTTATGAATAATTAGCAGTTTTATTGACTTGTCAAGGGTAGGCCTGAGACCTAGGCTGATGGGAAAGAAGAAAAATAGGGAGATACAGAAAAGAAGACAAAAGCAGAGAAACAATTAAACAAAAGCAAAGCATACGGTGGAAAGGTCAGTCCAAAAAGCGCACACGTCATAAACCTTAAATATATTAGCCACAGCCAACTTTTCTTCCAGACGCTTTGTGAATGATCTCAGTGCTTCACAAAGATCTATTTGTCCCCTCATTGGTCCTTTCCTTACCCATGAAGTATAAAGTTTGCGAAGAAAATCATCATCATCATGCAGATAAGAAAATGTAAAAGAGCACTTACAAGCTAAGCTAATCTCAAATCCTGCTTGTTCCGTCTAGGAATTCTAGGTGTTTACCGACTGAGCCACCCAGGCACCCTAGGAATTCTAGGTGCTAGGAGAACTACAGAGCCAACTTATCTTCATTATCATAGCCTAGGATTTTTTTTAAGATTTTATTTATTCACTTGAGACCGAAAGATACAGAGAGAGAGCAAGCATGAGGAGGGGGAGAGCCAGACGGAGAGGGAGAAGCAAACTCCCCCCGGAGACAGAAGCTGTGACCCGAAGGCAAAAGTCTAACCATCTGAGCCACCCAGGCGCCCCTCACAGCCTAGAATTATTAGAAAGAACGTTAAACTAAGAGTCCGTAGACCTGACCTTGCCACTGGTTTGCTGGGTCACTCTGATTAAGTCACTGTGCCTTTTGGCCAGTGACTTTTTGGCCAGAAACATTAGTTTCTCCAACTGTAAAATGAGGAGTTTGCACTTTAACAGCTTTGACATTGTGTTTTATCTGTGTTATCACTGGCTATGTTGATTTGGTTGTATACACAGTTCGAAGAGACTGCCCCTGGTTTCCTTAAAGTGAAAAGGAAACAAGTAACAGCCATCTCCGGGTAGTGGTGCTTGAGGGCCTTACTGGTCTCAGCTTACCCTCTTCTACCAGGCTTTTCTCAGCCCGAGACCCTGGGTTGCACCATTGCCCTCAGAAGACTTGCAAGTTGCATTTGACCTAGAACCTCTCTTTGGCTCCCCAGAGGAAGAACATATGTCTTCATATGCAATAGGTATGTTGAAATGGAGCAATCCGATGAGGAATGTACATGGTTATTTTTTTTTTAATTTTATCTATTTGTTTGAGAGAGAGAAAGAGACTCTCTGTGCAGGGAGTCTGCTTCTCTCTCTGCCCCTCACCTGCTCATGCTCTCTCTCTCTCTCTCAACATAACATAATAAAAAAAATTTTTTTAAATAAAATGTAGATCCAGTTGAGATTTGAAAATTCATCATTAACACTTTTAGAAAGCATGTTAACTGTTGATATTGATGATTTACAAATAACTATGAAAGTAGAGAATAAGAATAATTTTGAAATAAAAAAATAAAAGTGTTTTGAAGTGTTACTTCAGATAGCTTCTATGCTTCCATAAATACCCCATCCTCTACAGCATGGGTCTCAAAATGACAGCCTACAGGCTACATCCCGCAAACAGATGTGTTGTATTTGGTGCAGTGTTGGCTGAAACTTTGAGTTAAAAAAATTAATTGCCAGCATTTAGAAATCAGGACATTTCACATAAAAAAAATCAGATTTCCTGCTTCTCTCCCTAAAAAAAAAAAAAAAAATCAGAAAACCTGCTAACACTGGATCCATATTCACATATGGCTACAGTCAGCTATAACTAACCCCTTAGAACAATCAAGTTCCACACAGTCATCCCTACGTCCTTCCTCTAGTCTCCATTACTGCCCTTATCACTCATTTACCTTACCTGTCTGGCCCCATGTATTCTAGGAGACAAAATATCAGCTCCTTATCATGACCCATAATCTGCCTTTCCAACTTCATCTCCCACTATCCTACAAGGAACCCATACTCCCACAAAATTAAATTCACTGACAATTCTCACACATCGGTGTCTTTGCACAAACTGGTTTCTTTGCCTGGAATGCTCCCACCTTGGACATCTGATAACTTCCTCAAGAATCGAATCACATATTCCCTCTGGTACAGACCCACAACTCACTCTAAACAGATTGTCCTTTATACTTTCATGGTACTCTGAGCATGTTAATGATATCACTAACCACATTGTATTTTTCTTTTTTCATATGCTTTCTCATCACTAAAGTATGAGCTCCCTGATGGTAAGAACCACAGCCTTTCCACTTTGGTAGTCCCAATAACTAGCATAGCACCCACCACATAGTAGGCACCAGTATTGTTTGTCAAATTAATGGGGCATGATGTCTGCTATGGTAACCTAGATTGCCTAGAATTCCAAAAAAAGGAAGTGGGCCAAGGGATGCCTGCCAGTACCACTTATGAAGCACCTACTGTGTAACACATTATGGAAAGATATAAAGGAAATTGAACCAAATGACAATTATGTAATTATCCTCTTTTTTGTACTACTGTCAGAGTTGTGGATAACCTAGAAAAGTAAATAATCCATGAATTCAACTATAATTGGTTTGCAGTACTTCACTGGCTTTTTGTCCCATCAAGTTTACCTTCCTAATTTTGTTTTGTCTGGGCCTAATAGTAAAATAATATAGCTGTCAATGCCTGACTAATAAACATTCAAAACAAGTTGACAACCTCTGGCGGAATATGAAAAGGAGTTGGCCAAGGGCTGGTTTTAAATACCTCTTTGCTCTGGTTAATCCACAGAGGGGCACCTGGGTGGCTCAGTCAGTTAAGCGTCTGCCTTCCATCTGCCTTTGGCTCTGGTCATGATCCCGGAGTCCTGGGATCCAGTCCAGTGTCAGGCTCCCTGCTCCACGGGAAGACTGCTTCTCCCTCTCCCACTCCTCCTGCTTGTGTTCCCTCTCTCGCCATGTCTCTCAAATAAATAAATAAAATCTTTTTTAAAAAATCTACAGAACAAATCATTGACATAGAAATCACAGAGTTGACTTTCTGACCCACCTGGTGATAAGCAGATACATAGCTGGGGGGGACATGGGCTTAGGACTTGGATCCTGGTTTAAATCTCAGTATATTCACTTACCAGCTGTGTGACTTAGGACAGATTATTTTTGCCTGTATTGCAGAGCCTCAGTTTTCTCATCTGTAACATGGAGATGACAACATGTGTTTTGTGATATAGCTGTGCTTAAATGGGATGCTATATGTCAAAGTGTTTGGCACATAATAAATGTGCAGTAAATGTTAGTCCCTGTTATATAAGAGACTTCCACCAAAAGGAGATGAGAGGAAAACTACATAACAGTACTCAAGAACATGTAAAAATGCAGAAAAGCATCCACATGCTGGCCCCTGCCAAACGCCTGCCCCCTTCTTTTTCCATTCTTCAAGTTGAGATAGGACCCTTATGTTCCCATCACCCTCTCCTGAACTCTTGATTCATATATCATGTATCCCAACTTCCTCCTCTCCATTTTCACTTGGATATCTAATAAACATCTTAAACTCAACATAACCAAACCCAAAGCTTTTCTCCCCTAAAATGTACTTATCCCTTGGTCTTTTGCATCTCAGCAAATGACAAGTCCATCCTCCCACTGCTCAAGACAAACACTGTGAAGTTATCCTTGAATCGCCCCCTCTCTTTTTTTTTGAGAGAGAAAGAGATAGGGTGGGGGGAGGG